TAGATAGACAGATAGATAGATAGATAGATAGATAGATATGTTTTGAGTGAAACAAGGCTGACTAAGTGATGACAGAATTTTTAGATTTTGCTGAACTGTCCCTTTAATGCTTTAACATCATTAATTTATTGTCCAGGTTAATAGCCGCTAATAATGTTGCTCTTATTACCCATAAAATTCTTGCTCTTCATTGTTTGATGTTCAGTTTTAAACCCTGTTGTTGTACACAATAAACTGTTTCCTTCAATTTTACCATCAAAACCTGTCTGTCTTTGATCAGTTTGAGTATCCAGCCCTCAGTGTAGTTCAGCTGCGGCTCCTACGACTCCAGAGCAACAGAGCAGAACAGAGAGTAACTTACTCCTGTTACCCTGGACACCGACTGGGCCAGACACAGCAACAGGTCCAGTTCCTCACAGACTCCGTGAAGCAGAGCTATTTAGGAGAACTGCAGGATTGTGTGGTATGTGGATTTTAACAGCACTAGTAATAAAATGTGTTAATTTTATCAAATTTTTTAAGGGGAATCTTGAAGGGGTTTGTATACGGTTCATTCATTGCTGTGGTGAACCAATTTATTTTGATATGCACTACTGTTCAAAAGCTTCGGGTCAGTTAAAAGAAGTCTCTTTTGGTCACCAGTGCTGCACTTATTTGATCAAAAATACAGTAAAAACAGTAATATTGTGAGATATTATTACAATTAAAAATAGCTGTTTTCTATTTGAATGTATTTTAAATGTCATTCCTGGGATCATGGCAAAGCTGAATTTACTGTTCAAAACATTTCTTATCAAGGTTTCAAACAATTGTGCTTTACCTTTAACAACCGTTTATGTTTGTGTTTGTTGTACCAGTCTGCGAAGGAAGTGGATCCCGGACCGCGTGAATCTGTGTTTCAGTTTGAGGGCATGGACCTGCTTCCTCTACGTGACATAGGAATCTTGGGCAACAGCAGCTACGAGTTTGGCTTCACAATCGGCCCTGTGTGTTTCCGCTAGAGACACCCTGAATGATAACGCTACATCCTGTGCATTTAACCTTAAACACAAGCAACAAAGAGAAGATAACAGGACACTCTGAAGACACATGTGGCATCTACGGCTCGTGGTAAAGGAAATACTCTAGACAGTGTCCTGTCTATCCCGGTGCTGCCAGACAAACGGACAATATCCTTTTTTTGTTTACAGGGACTTTTGGCTTTGTAATTGATGTACTATTTTTATAATAATTTTATTTGTTTCAGCAATGTTTTTTAATCACTAGCTGGTCTTGTAATAACATTGTAGATGAAGCTTTGATCGTATCAAGTGTATGGTTGCAAAGGGGTGGAAAATTTCCTGTAAATTTCTGGAAACTTTCCAAAAATCCCTGGAATATTCCAAAAAAAATCCTGGAAAGTTTCCAAAATTTCTGGAATATTTCCGAAATTTTCCACCTTTTTACAACCTTAATCAAGTGTAATGACAGGGTTCTGACGTGACCACTATGTGGTTGCATGGTCCAAGTTTCAGCTGTTTACTACTTAATCATGTACAAACGGTTACCATGGATTAACCAGTTATTATTATAGAACTTTGCGTTATTAGGCGAGTGCATGAATGACACTTTTTCCTCTCTCGTTTAAGTGTCTAACTTGAATTGTAGGACTGATACAAACAAAGCGTCCCAGTGAGGACACCGCTAACTGTCCCATGAGGTTTGGATATCAGGAAGTCTGTGCTACCTTGGTTTTCTCTGTTCATGTCATGATTTGATTTCAGAAATGGTATTAAATTTGTATGTTAGACGATTTATGGGTGCTAATATTTACAATACAGCAGTTAGAGTTGTTTAAAAAAAGAGAAGAGTAATACAAACTGCAGCAAAACTGGTTAATAAATGTGCAAGCAGTGATTTAATATTGATATGAGACTGAAATTCAGTACACATGCATAAAGTCATAGAGACAGTGTCCTTCAGTTCACATTTACTGTATGTAGGTCTCAGGGAGCACTTACAAATATGACATAAATGTAAGAAAATACACAAATGATATTGGAAATAGGTTCATTCATTGAATATGTTGAGCCAAATGTAAGTGTTGCTCATCATTGTTTTAAAGCAGTTATCATTAAAAACGTTTTAAATCACATAGAATTGAGGCACAGGTGCTTTGTTTTGAAAAACTTTTTGTTCAATAACATTTTGTAATGTATATTGTGTTTTCTATGTATTTGTGGTGACCGAAATCACGTGCTGGTCATCTGTTTGAGTATCAGCTATAAAACGTGCATTAATGTATCATTTAAATCGTGTATATCATTGTGTGAAACACGAACGTTTCTTAAAAATGCTTTGTGAAGCTGTGTTTTTCCTGTTCAAACAGCCAAACATGGTAATGAGCAAAACTGAAACCCAGCTAGTATCCAGAAATTAATTTTGCACAATGGGCAGTGTTGGGCAGTTACTAGTAACAGTAATAATATTACTTTTTGCAGTAACTAGTAGTGTAACTAATTACAAGCTACACATTACAATTATTGAGATTAATACAACTGTAATGAGGATTCAGTGACGTTGGGATCCATGTGCAGCTTTATTAACAATAGCAGTAACTGGTATTTGTAATATGGAAGTCTGACTCACCGCAGAAGGGTTGCGAGACGGTCGAGTGGGGCAGGAAGCTCTCATATGTCCAGAGAGACCGCAGTATAGGCAGAGGTTCTGGCGAACGCGTCTCTCTCTCTCCTCCGTACCGAGATGAGTATAACCGACCTGCATCGCTTCAGTCTCAGGTGGTAAATGCCTCATAGCCATGGGAGCCGGAAAGAAGCGAGGAGATCGTCGAGAGCGGATGAGGTTGTCGAT